AGAGTCCTGCTGGATCAGACCAAAGACCCACCTAGTCCAGCATTCTGTCCCCAGCCAGTATTGTGGATATGCTGTGACACGCTCCTTTGCCTGCTATCATGTCCCCCATAGGCTTTAAGCAAGCTCTTCTACCTATTTTTGAGCACATAGAGCTGTCACTTCCATTAATATGAAAGAGGAAGCCCTTAGGGCTGGTGATCTCTACATGCATATGTGATGGGGGGTGTTCTGCATTAGCAACAAACAGTCTCTCAACAGAAGTAACTGTATGCACTCCAAGCACTGCTGTTATAGCACCTATGACAGCATGTAGTGACAGCAGCATCCTGTATGGGGTCCTGTGGGCACTCAGAATCAAGGTCAGCAGCCCACATGCTGTGCTGATCCCAATCTCAAAACAGAACTGGGGGCTCCTATGCACCTCCTAGCAACGCTGCAGCCCTCCATCCCCTAGGTGTATGGCAATGGTGTTTCTCCTGAAAGGCCCCTTTGCCTTTGCTTCCTCCCACTACCCGGTGTCACAGCAGCTGTCTGGCACAACACACGCACTCATTCGCTGTTCAGGCAATGCTTTCCTCACTTCCTTCTGTCGTTGTTGCCTCTGCTGGTCTCTAATAGCCCCTTCTCATTCAACTCTTGGGTGAAGCAAGAATCCACTCGAGAAAGTTGTGGTGACCCTGAGTGCTTGTTACCTATTTTCGTATATAGTCCTTACTTGTTGGGCGGAGTCCATTGGTTTCAGGTGCTGGCCTGACTGTTGTGAGTCATGTGCTCTCAGTCTTGTACTACTGCCTACTGGCTGGCTGTCCCAGCTATTCTGCCTGCCTAATCTTCCTACTAGCTCTTGGAAACAGTGGGGATGGGGAGTCATGTTCCTCCAGGGTCCTAGCCTCCTCTGTACTGAGGGCTGTGTGATCTCTTCTTCCCTGTGTTCCTGGTATTCCAGGCTGTATTTCTACTCCTCCACTGGCCCCTCATTCCCCAGCCCCTCTGAGACCTCTCCATGTTGCACGGGGATGCTAAGGTCTCCTGATGCAAGTCTTGAGAACCTCCAGTAGCCAGTGGTGCCCTCCTACAGCTTATCTTCATCCTGCCTGAATAAGCAGGGTCTCATAACAGTTTTCAGGACCTTTTACAATCTACAGTTCTTTGGGAAAAGCCAAGGCTGTTCAAAGTAGTATGATACAGCCTTAAACGCAAAGCGCAGATGAGACCTTGGGGGTTAATCCCATGATTAGGGATGGGAGAGAACATCAATTCCGTTTATATTTCAAGAAAACATACCAAATTCATACCTACATGAACTGAAACACAGCCGTACTTCAAAATCCATACATCTCCAAATTTTGCAGTGCATCTCCTCAGCCAATTAATGTGTTCAAAAATCCATAGCCTGGGGTGAAGAGTGCATGCAAATGCACATATTTTTCTTTTTTTTTCTTTCAATAATTTTTATTAAATTTCCATTTGCCAAGTTAAACATATCATACCAATTAGTCCAAATTATATCAATACACATCATAAAGTCCAAATGTTTTCCAAATTAAAAATTTTTTTGTGGGGGGTACCCATGCTCCTCGATCGTCAGGAATCCAAAGATCCAAATTCGTGCTGCTTTCCTTACTGCAATGATGTTTCCAGTCCCATCTTCTCATATTTGTCATTTATTCATTTTCCTTTTCTGTCACCTCCGAGTTTTCTCCACAAGTGCATTAAAAGGAACAGTCTTATTTTGTTTCTGTGTGGGTTTTATAATGCTCTCTCATATGTCCACAAATCCAACCATCATGTTTTCGAGCAGACACTCCGTCCTGTCATTCCAGTGAAATACAGTCTAAATGTCCACTCGTTTACTTTCCAGACCCGCTGCCTCATAATTAGTCTTCCAGGAGGAGAACAGCCCTTTCTGATTTACGATTCCAGCCTGATATCCAAGCGGCTCTTCCTCCCTAGACCATCCATCTTGCAGCCGAGATCTGCCTACGCATCGAAGCATTTCTTACTGCGTCACTGAGAGAGACTCACTTGTTTCCAAATCTTTCACAGACATATAATTTTTTCCACACAGTTCATTTTCACTCCCACTTGTAAATTAGTCGTCGAGACGGTTTTTTGAGGGGGAGGGTTATCAGGTACTCACATAAAAATAAAATAAAAAAGTCTTTCCCCCTCCTTCTCATACCGTCCACATACCAAAATGTCGGCAGTTCTCTGGTGTTATCTCTGTTCCTTTCGTCCTTCGTCCTTCTGTCTCGATCTTCTTCACTCAGTGGTAAATTTATTAGCAGATAAAACATTCCTGATTTCTCTTGAAGCATGTGCGAACTCGGGGGTGATTTATGGCAACAGCAGGTGAGGCAGAGTCTTTTCCTTCCCTGAAAAGACGAAGGGAGGCTGATGTACTCCCCATATCAGCCTCTAATTATCTCTTGCAAGCTGGACAAGGTGTTATTAGCAGCCATCTTTCAAGGCGCCCCTAGTGGCCCCCCTCAAATGCACATATTGTTCTGCCTTTTCATGACATCCTTAGATGGCCACCTCACTTTGCCTAACAGCCCATTGACTTGTTCTCTGGGTTGTCTGCATATTAGAAAGGGTACTCAGTTACTTTGATACATAGATCATGTATTAATTATATAGATTATTCATTAAAAGTGTATCATTAAGAACAAATAATATTTCAATTTGCTTAAAATTGTGAAAACTGGACATGGAATAGAACACTTCTGCTCTTTTCTGTAAGAGTTTAATTGGAAAATTATTTGAATTATTCTATGAAAGAGAAAGTGCACCATTTTCTTTTTTTATATGTAAAAGAGATTGTATAAATAAGGCAACAATCTAATTCCCAACAGCTCCCATAATGCATGCTTTTTGGGGGGAATATTTTATATTCTGAGGTATATACAAATACCTCATGACTGCAACACATAAGAATGATAAAATGCTAAGATTTAACACTATTTAAACTATCTCTAGGGACAAATGAAAAAAGGCATCCATTATTCAACAGCAACTTATTTATAACAAGCTTTCTTTCAAAAATATACCAGGAACATAAGACGAAATTTGAGACCTAAGGCACTGAATATGTGGAACTCCTTTAACAGAGAAGTCTACAGTGATCCCACAGAGTAACACATATGAATGCAGTAATACAATTACCAGTTGACAGCAAGTCCACTCTCCACAAAGAAAAATCTTACAGCTGTGCATGAAATAACAGCTTGAGAATCACCTCCTCATAGTAACTCTTGACTGCTACATGCTGGTAAAATAATGAGTAGCTCTACTGAAACTTAGGGCAGTAGGGAAACAGTTTCTCTTTTTCACAAGTTTTAGCAAAATGATGGGATTGGAAAACAATCTGAAAATAAAAAAGAAGAAAGAGAAAGAAGAGGGAAAGAAGCAAATGGTGATGAAAATAATAGTAGTAAAGTAGTAGGATGAAGACTTTCTTCTCCCAGCAAAGACTTAAAATATGTTGCCTTACTAGGAAAACTGTATTCTTGTTCCCTTAAAGAACGTCTTCACCAAAACACGTTGAGTATTTTACTATTTTATTACATTTCCCATATCCTTATCAGTCCCATATCATTATCAGGCTCTTTGCCTCTTCTTTGCTTCTTTGCGTGGACAGGCGGAGTCCCCAGATCCCGAGCGGTCCCCCCCGTCATGTGGAATAACGACTCAAGACAACGTGCTATGGGATTAAATTGGCCACAACTTTATTAAATTTCAAATGTGAGTAGACCTTGGCTCAGGCATTGGGCATTCTCCCTCCCCAGTCCCCAGCTGGGGACCTAGGGAGCTTCAGGGTTATCCAGTGGGGGGGGGATGGGCCGGCTCTGGAGAACATATGTTCAAGCAGAGATAGCCACCCCCATTACGACGCCGCCGCAGGGGAGAGCAATGACGACCTTTTGGCATATGGTCAAAGCCTCCCTTCAGAAACCCCTTTAACGGGGAACCCTGGTATCGCCGCCGCAAAGAGGAAGATGGACTAAAGAATTCCGCCCAAGGCCTGATACCGCCAAGGTTGTGACGTTTAGCTACGGGAAAGGCAAAACCTGCCAATGCAGGGAAATTCCTTTCCGGCCCTTTAACAGCGACCTTATCGTAGCAGCGCCCGCATACCTGTGAAGAAAAGTTAACCTGCAAAACCTATGAAGAAAAGTTAACCTGCAAAGGAAGACATTAACTGAGGGTGGGTAGGGTGGGAGAAGCTCTGGAGCCAAGTGAGGATTCCCAGGTAAGATCCTCCCTCTATTGTGTGGGCAGGTAATCCCTCCCCTACCTGGCCTGGTCTCCTTGGCAACGCTTCCCCCAGGTGGGATTGGACAACTGACTGAGGTAGGCGGGGACCTCCAGGTATCCCACCTGAGGGAAGGCAAAGCCAAGCCTATGCTGATGGGGCCACTCCAGATCCAGGGCTGCGCGCGTCCACGCAAAGGGCGCCCCCCGTTTTAAGCGGGGAGCGGTCATTGTGTTTGGGGCAACCCCACCTGCTATCCCATTTTTTTCTCTTTTGAAATCGTCACACACTTTATACTGCTCTTGCTTATCGGGTATCTGATTTAAACAAAATTTCCTGTACCTGTGATGAAGACTTTGCATTTCCTGTCCCAAGTCTATTGTTAAAGTCAAGGAGAGACTCTGAGGTAAGGTCTCTGAAGGGGAGAGCAAAGGTCACTGAAGGGGACATGCGAAGACAAAGTCCATCTCTGACACACTGCCCATTCCAACAGGGGCTATTTCATAACATGCAAAAGCAATAACATAAGACAATGGAATGAACAAGTGTTTGCAGCTGAATGTTCCTCAGGCTCAGGGGTGCCAACTTGAATAAAATGGATCCATGCTAGTGCTTCATGAGCCATATTGAGGCATTCAGTCTGATCCCATGTGCTAAATGTGCGTAGGATGCCAAGTGTACATACACTGGCCATGTCCCAATTTGCCATGCACTTCCTCCACCCCCAACCTTTGGATGTTTAGCTTCAGATAGCTCACTCGATAGAGTATTGGACTTTTAATCTCAGTGCTGTGGGTTTGAGCCCCACATTGTATGAAAGATTCCTGCATTGCAGGGGGTTGGACTAGATGTTCCTCGTGGTCCATTCCAGCTATGAATCCATGATTCAACTGAACATACTTAGGAGTTTCCTCAAGATCAGGAACCTTGATGGTGCAGTGTTCCTGATTATGCTTCCAAACTGCATTCAGTCAACTACGGTCAGAGGCGTAGCAAGGTCAGGTGGTGAGGAAAGTTTTTTGTCACCCCCCCATTGAAATTATTAAAAGAAGGAAGAATAAGATACTTACAGTTGCAAGTGTTATTTTCTGGTTTATTTACTTAACATTGTGAGCATAAGCACTTAAAACTTTTTTTCCTGACTTTGTTCTCACACCCCACCTCTCCTCCTGTGCGTTCCAGGATTTGGGTCCTGAGTTGAGGGAGCTTTTGCTTCTCTCCTTCCCTTCCCCCCTATGCTTGTTTGCTCGCCCGTCTCCTGCCTGTCCTCTCCCTGCCTGCCTGCCTCCTCCAGCAGCCCGGGAATGTGGGGCAATGGTGTGTCGCCCACCCACGACTCCCAAGCCTCCCCCGCGCTGTCAAAATGAAGGAGGGAGGGGGGAGGGTGCCAGCAAAGCAGAGCAGCTCCCCCTTTCCCCTGATGGCTCAAGGTGGACTTGGGAGTTGCGGGCAGGCGGCGTGCCAAATGTCACCCCCCCCCCCAGTGATGACACCCGGGGCGGTCCTCCCCCACCGCACCAACCTTCCTACGCCTCTGACTATGGCTAGACACATCTTCCACTCGATCAAGTACATCATCACAGCTAAGGAAAGTAGTACATGCTCATGTGTAGTGGAAACTCACTGTGTCAACTAGGTCATAGGCTGAATTTTGGCAACACCAAACATACCAAACCCATATGTTGCCAACCATAGTGGCATGTGAGGGAGCAGAACAGCAGCAGTACCCCCCTTGTAGTGGTACTTTACTTGCCAAGATGGCGATAGTAGAGCTACCCTGACCTTCCTGCCACCTGGCCCCACCCCATCAATGTCCAACAAGAGCAGAGTCGTGAAATGGGGGCTGCTGCTGCTGCTATATGGTGTTGCTGCTATGTGAGAGAGGGCATCTTGCATGAAACTTGGGATAGGATGGAGGGAGGGTAGGGACAAGTGCATCCTTGTACCTGCCACTGCTTTCTCCCTTCCTTGCTTTGATCTTTTCTGCGCAGGAATCTTTTTGCTATTCGGTTAGTGTAATTCCCCCAGGTTTGTGGTTTGCAGGCCTGGGTCAGTGATCTTGGGCAGCCCCTTGTGCTGATCAGATGCAGCACTCCATTAGGCACAACGAAAGTAGGAGTGTGGGATCATTTCAACTTTGTTATTATCCAAATACTGTCATATCTTTTCCATTACATGCAGACAAGCCTCTCAGAATGAAATCAAACACATTTACCCTTATAGTAAAGTTGATGGAAAATATAATGACAGTAATATAATATATGCATGCAAATGACTCCATTGCATCTGCAGCTCTGCTGGGTATTGCTGCCACTGCTGCTGTTGTTTTGCTCTGCCTTCAGAACCTAATAAATTCTCTCTCTTCCCCCCTGTTCCCTTACATTCATAAACAATTTCCCTGCAGAACATTTAGTCTTTATTTTACTTCAGCAAACATAGCTTAAGTTTGGCCTCAGGGGAAGATATAAGTGGCTAAGTTTACCAAATCTGAAATCTAGAAAACTTCCCGGACTGAAAAAATGAATTGTCTTCTATGCCTTCTGTTTGTAAAAAATAGCACTAAACACATTCTGCTTAAGCCGAATAAATGTTTTCTGGTGGATAGTAGGATTGTGCATCTGGTCCTGACAAATCCCAGATCCTAAACCAAATTAGTGGGATTCAATTCAGTCCAGGATTTGTATGGAGCTAGTTGAGGCACTCCCAGATCTGGTCCCCCGCCCCGAGATTGGTTCAGGTCCACCTGGAGCAATGTGGGGTTGTCAAAAGGGAGGGGCACTTGGGCAACAAGGAGAAGAAGATTGTGTAAGCAGAAATATCTGCTAGCATATCTCCTCACTCTCCCCCACCACTGCCAACCACATGTTTAGTTTTGGTTTTAAAGCCCAATTAAATATTAGGAGTGCTGTACAAAGGGCCATTTATTTTATTTCAGCTGTACTTTCTGATGGGTCAAAAAACACTGTCATTTCCATCACGGGGAGTTGGAAGGTGGCTGATAAATGGTGGCATTGCAATGTTGCAATGCAGTTCTCTAGCCATAATATGTATACGAGTAGCGGACCTACATTTTGGGGGCCCTGAAGTTTGAACTGTTATGGGGGCCCCTTTGCAACCACTGTCATCTTCTTCGATGGGGTTGTTCCATGACAGATCACCACATTAAAAAAAAAAACACCTATACCTCAGATTTTGATTAAAATTGCTGTACTGGATTATCTCACATGTCAAAGTCACTGGTGTGAATAAAATTTCCCTGTGCCTTCTAGGTTTCGAGTCATGCGACTCAAATTGGGTCTACTAACCCAAAAAATTGAAGCAATGTGGACTTAACTATTTTCTGTTCTTGATTTCTAACAGCTGAAGGAAAGGCACAAGCTCTCACAGCTTTGTCCAGATTCCCATTTAGTTTTGCTTGACCTGTTACCTGCCCTCCACTTTCATTCAATAGTGGAATAAGAGCTGCTTGTTTATAAATGATTGCAATGCACTGACATTCAAACATTCCACATAGCATGCTTTAAAAAAAAACCACCACAACAACAACTTAAGGCTTTGCATAAAAACTAGCACCGGGAATATTTAAAATGAGCAATACCTACCAGAGGATAATCTTGAAGGCTAATTCTCCCCTTTGGTTAATTGATTAAATCAAGCAAACATCCTGTTGGTAAATGAGTTTTTAATAGAATTTCTTTTGCCAAGTTATTCATAAAAATAAAAGTAACCCTGAATATTGTAACAGAATATGAAACCGCTCTCTTTGTTTCCTGACATTTCATGAATCTGTCATACTTGGCAGTCATTGTTCAAACCTCAGGATTGTAAGGAAAGGCCTGTGTCATTTAAATCTAATTAAGCTTTTAATAAATTCAATTTTTTCTTTACTAATCATGATGTATCCCTATTATGATCCAACATCATTGGCAAATTCAAACTAAAGATACATTTTAGAGAAAGGAAATTGAGGGCATGACACCATATAAATGAGATATGGCACAGATGTGATGTGTGAGACAAGTTGCAGAAGCAGTGTGGTTAGAATGTGCTATACACAAATATTATGAAATGTAAACATTCTTTGTCCTAGTTAGGAGTTTTATGCCAAGGCTGCCACTGCTGTTGTTTTATATGACAGTTACATTTTGTGCACACAAGTACTGTGGTTTGGGACTGCAGGAGAGAAACCGTAGCTTAGCAGTAGTCTGCCAGTTTTACATGATGTAGGAGCAGTGCCGGATTTACGTATAAACTAAACAAGCTATAGCTTAGGGCCCCACTCTCTTGGGGGCCCCCCAAAAATTCACTATTAATATACTTCTTCTTAATTGTATTTCAGTTCAGCAATTACTTTGATAAAATACATATTTTGTTATGAGGCTTTAGATATCTATTAGGTCCATAAATTGCCATATAGCATATATTCAACACAAAAACAGTGACAATTTGTTGTTAACAAAGGATGGCTGGACATATACAGGGCCCCATTACCTTCAGTAGCTTAGGGCCTCATCAAACTTTGGGTTGGGACCATATTTTGTAGGTGCCCTGAGCCCATTGGCCATGAAATTTTACATGATTGGGAGCAGTTACTCCTCCCTCAGAAGAAGAAAGCAACCTAAGGCTTCCTTCCTAATGGTTGGGAGTGACATTAAAAAGTTGCATTCACCTATGGAATGACATTCTGAATGGTGAATGAACTTGCCAATGGTAAAATATATATTTAGTCAAAGGGGTCCTTTGGAGGGGTTTTTGTTTTGTTTTTAGTATTACTCCAAAATGCTATTCAGTACAAATCTTCTGCTATACTGACAGAAGAAAGTTTTGCCAAAGACAAATGACCATGGAAATACACCAGGGGTGAATGACTGTCATCCTATAAACTCATCTTAATTTCAGTGCATTATAAAGTAATGGTCAATTTGTGGTGCATATAACATAAAATGATAAACACGTTACACAACATTAGCTTCCTTTGCACTCTTGAATGCCTAGATCTTATATGTAAGGAAGCAAGATATAGTACACTCCATTACATTTTCATCCAAACACATCAATGCATTTGAAGGCTTCCTTTCTTGTTCTGTCACCTTTAATTTCACTGGTAATTTAACACTGAAAACAAAAGGTAAGCTTTAATATACTAGCCTGGTGTGCTTTATTTGAAAATTAAATCATTTGGGAGTCTGTGTCTGCATAACAGAATTTACTGCCTGTAATTAACTAACCTTTAGAAAAGACCCTTTTTAATTTCCTCCTGACAACATATCTGAAAAATGAGACCATAATAAGTGTTGGCACAAAAGTGACTATATTAGTGTAGGAACTCGAGCAAATATTAGATAAATGATGCAATCAAGTTTTATATAAATGGAAGTTTAGTCATATTACTTCTCTCTACTTGGACTCATATGGAGCTTTTATTTTTACATATCAATTATATCAGATAATGAAATAAATCAAGTGCATGTCTTGAATGTGATAGGCGATGAGACCTGCACCTCTTGGAACTCTGCGAAAGCATTTGCCAAAGTCTGTTTTAAAAAGCGAACGATCGGAAAATATTCCAGGGCTCCGAAAAGTGATGACTGTCCACATTTCCTATTTCTCTTTTACAGCATCATTCTATCTATGCCTACTCAGCAGTAGCGAAGCTCCATGCTCCAGCACCGGGGGCGGAGAGCAGGCGGGGGCGGGGTGGATGGGCATCCAGGGGGCATGGCACACCATCCGTGGGGGCATGGCGCCCAGCACGGGGGGGCCCAGTCGCGATGGCACCCCACCGGGATCGTGGTGCCGGGGGCGGTGCGCTCCCCCC